TCTCTGATCGTCCAGGACAATCTCCTTTGTGACACGGATTGTGCAGATGAAAATCAATTCCAATTCTTTCGTCCCTGGATGAGTGCTCAATATGGAAAATTTCGTATGGACAAAGCTACCTTCGTCACTGGGAGACGATCTCTCTGTCACCAAATTTATAACTAATCGTCCCGGATGAACTCCACTTCGTACTAGTCAGCCGGCTCCCACCGAAAGCGTATCTCACCGGCGACTCAGCCTAGAGAAAAAGACAAAGCAAAACGGGCTTTCACAGGATTTAATAACTGGATGCGTTGTAGAGGAAAGGGGACAAACAAGGTATGCCTCGCACGAGTTATCATTAACACTTTCTCGGAAGAGGGATCCATACGGCGGGGTCACTGGGTATTCTCGTCGGCGTCCTGGAGACAAGAGATTCGCCCATGGACGGAGGAGCTTGTTCGATCAACGAAATTTCCATTATTTTAGAGCATGTAACTTCTATCCAGGGCGCTATCCTAGGAACGAAAGAATGAATGATTTTCATCTGCACATACGCGTTCGTATGGTCCAATAGGGGAGAGGTCCTGACCGACAGCCACGAATTCCGCCTCTCCCGAAGAGTACCTGGGTCGACGACCTGCACGTGGGAGTCTCAGATAATGGTCGGTGATTGTGGTGGTCCGATGTATTGTCAGCGGCTCGAACCTCAGATTTAGCGCGTCGACCGGCCATGGTTAGTAGTTGGTCCAAAGATAGTCAACAAACAGGCGTGGTTGCCCCGACATCTCTTTCCGGGCCCCCCGAAGTCTTAGTGGGAGGATCAATGAACGGCGGTGGTTTTCATGACGGCACGCGTCTATGTGAGAGGCTCATTCCCTCTTGATTTGCACTCTCATATTTGATTTTTCCTCCAGGATCGTTCCAGGCCGGATTTTGGATCGTCTGGGACGATCAGCATGGCAAATCCCCACCCATTGAGAAGCAAGGGTTTTTGCCAAATAATTAATCGTCCTGGAAAATCCGTCTTTAGACTTGAAAAATTGTTCAATTCGTCCTGGACGAGTGGTGATCCGGCCAGGACGATCAGGACTGATGTTAGAAGGGAAATCAGCTCGATTTGAGGAGAGATTAATAAGATATTTTATTAAATCAATAAATATCTGAGGAGAGATGATAAGAGAAGAAAAGCAAAGAAAAAGCTTCGGTTCCTCCCGAAGGGCCCCGCGGACGCGCTTTCGTCCGACGCCGCTGTTGGGAAAAAGTTTTATCTCGTGGTAAGGACTCCGAATTCCTATTTCTTGTTTTCAGGAAGATATTGAGATTTTGATCATATTGTGCACTGTTTGTGTTTTTTGTGATCGAAAACGACCCGATTTGTATTATTGACACAACTTTCACCGCACAACTTTTAAATTATGGTTATAGAACGAATATTTCTACACGAATTTGATTATTTCTGGAACGGATTTTACGGTTATTTTGAGTTCTACGCGATTTTTGATCGAATAGAAAAATAATCAGGATATTTATTGGATATTGATTCAGAGGAATAATAAGTCTCTATATTATTCGCTGGGTGTAACATCATATCTTATTGTAATTTGTGTGAATTGTGATTTGTTATGGATTTTTTGTTGTTAAAATTTTTGATAGGACTTTCGCCGTTACTGCCGCCGAATTTTCGTACGATTTCGATTTTTCTGAGACGATGATTAATAATATGCATATGAATGTTGATATTATTGCTCTTACTTATTCTTATATTGGGACTATTAAATAATGTAAGACAAAATGGAGCACTGTTGATGTTGGTTGGAGATTGACTGACCTGTACAGGATGGTGGGCCGACGGGCTTTCTTTAAATTCATGAATCAGTTGGATATAACGATTGAGAGTCATAAGGAGTTTAATTATGCCGACGGAGCGGCCGACTGGGCAACAGAGTTGTATGAACTTCTTATTGAAACCAACGTATGGATTATCTACAAACAGCAATATTTGGATATTTACAACAACCAACATGGTTCTACAACAGCCAAATAAGCCAAGTTGATCGTTTACTTGTTCAGTTATTATTGATTGAAGTGCATGTGTATAGTATTGACATATGGACTTTTACTACTTTATTTGATTTGATCAGATTTTATGGATTTACTTTTATCGTACGATTTCATCGATTCATTGATTGATCGTCTGAGCATTGATATACTGAGCTATAGATATTGATATGGAATGAAATACTAGATATTGTTATTGATTCTATTGACTGTCATGCGATCATGGATACTAAGATCATGATATTATTGCTTATAGATTCATTGATACTATGCTTCTGCACCATAATTAACATGCTGTCATTTGATTCATGCTAGTATTAGATTGAGGCTTTGATTGTATTCTTTCTAATCGAGTTCATTGACTAGATAATATTGATTTGATCGGACATGCGATTCTGATTACGATGTGATTTGATTGATCGATGATTTTCTTCTGTGTACGGGATTCTTTTGAGAATTGCGTATTGATTTAATTGAGTTTTATTTTATCGATTCTTCTATCGCTGTTTGTATCGACTATTTTGATTTCATTGATTATTGATTTTCGTATTGCATAGACTCATTGATCATTGACTGTTTGTTGATTTGATGACTTGACGTGCTCATATTTGATAGCGATAAGATCTGAACAGTTTGTCATAACGAGAGGAGCGAGGAGAAAAAAAGAGAAAAAGTACCAAGGAATGACTAAGTTGAGTATTTTGTCAGGGTGTACGAGACTTTGTGGATCCTGCTGTCGGAGCTTTTTGTCAAGATCATCGTCTCCATAGTTATGGTGATGGTGAGGATGCTTAATATTCTTCTCAGAGGTACCCGAAGCAAGGCAACGAATGGAGTTCAATCAGAACTGTCAGTACCGGGGAATCCTTTTCACTATGTGTATGCCTGGGGCGTCAACAGTCTGGTTGAAGCCGACAGGGCTGGTGGAATTCCGGTTAAGACACACTATGCCTTCTCAATTTTCAGAAATTGTATTGACGTATTTTCTATCATGTGTGTGTGCCTGTAGTCCTAGATATGACAGGGAGCCACTCGTGGTGGTGGTCTGACAGCGTATGACTGCGATCGTGTGAAAGAGCTTTACTCGGCCTACTAGCAATGGAGCTGAAGCTCTTGAAGCTTAGAGCTCTCCTAATTATCTAGGTAAAGGTTCATTCATGTCACGTTGTCAAATTTGCTGCATGCATTCCTGGGCTTATGGCAATACCTTCCTAAAAATGAGTGTTTGTTCCCATGCTTTCATCAGTCTTTTAGCAGAAAGAAGGATATATTATGGACAGATGCCCTATTTGAACATGGCATGGCTGCTACTGGGATCACCGGTGCTGAAAGTGGAACAAAATTGTACATATCAAACTTGGATTATGGTGTTTCCAATGGAGATATAAAGGTCTGCTGGGTTGCAATTGAAAAATACAGCCATTGCTGCCCTTTCTGTGAGGTTCATATCATAAAAAATTTGCACTTTTGTCTTATGATTTGTTCTGGTTGTTATTCAGGAACTTTTTTCTGAGGTTGGTGATCTAAAGAGGTGTACAGTTCATTATGATAGAAATGGCCATTCGAGTGTGAGTAATCTTTTCCCTATATCTGAGATGCAGATTATTGTGTTGCTTAATTGCGTTGTTTAACTATTAATGCAATTTATTGAAGGTTTTATTCTTCAATTCGTAGTGCTTACATTGATGATTACTCATGCCATACTTGAGAATCTTACAGAAAGGTGTAAATAATTGGCGTTCAAATTTTTATTTTATTTCAATATCATAAGGAGCTGACTCCTTAATTACAATTTTCATGAAATGCTAATCATATTTTAGTGATATGAAGGGTCTTTTGGCCTCTTTTGCATGATGATTTGGATTCTTGGGCCAATCCATAAATATGACTAATTTTGACCCTTCCATGCGTTGTTTAGAACCTGGTAGTTTTTCGAATAGGCCAGTTGTATAGGCGATGAGGAGGCTTTATTTGTGTTCATAGGCCTTGTTTGTATTCATAGGCCAGTTGTAAAATCCTCTATAAATCCCCTGCTTGCGTTCAACATTGCTTTAATTTTGTAATTTTGTTCATATCTTACAATTTTGTAATTTTAATTTTATCTTAAATTCCAAAATTTTGTTCATGTTCTACATTTGAGTTTGTGTTGGTCTGAATTTCATTAGCCTCTTGGCATTTTTCCTTTGTAAGGGCCTCTTCGGAGGGTGCTAGGTCTTTCCAACACACCTGGAAGAAATATCACGGTTGGAGGATCTTCTAACTCAGTGTGCTTAAAAAAGCATGTATATGCCTTCTACACCGTTTGATATGTGATTATGTGTTGTACAAATTTTATGAATAAAAATTAGACATTTTTTTTGGGATTGTTGATGATGTTGGATGCAATGAAGTAACCTTATAGTAGTTTCAGAGCTTCCTAGATAGGAGTTATTGAATTGGAGTTTGATTGTCGGCTGCTGGGAAAGCCATTTGCACACGTTTGTGATAGCTTAGAAATTGGATGGTTTCATGCGGCGCACATATTCCTGTAATATTTGAGAATATTTCAAAATTATGTTTAGCGTGAAATGGAATTATCAAATTTATTTGTTTTTCTTTTAGGTAATTACATCTGATGCGAGGCTATAAGTGATGATTATTGTTTTATAACATGGTTGATCTATAAGAAAAGAGAAAATGATTAAAATTTCCTCTCGACTCTTGAGAAAGATCAAAATAGTTTGCAACTATATTAAATGACCATTTTGATCCTTTAACTTCTTAAAGAGGAATCAAAATAGTCCCACCATTGAACTATTTTGATTCCTTTTAAAGACTTAAGGGGACCAAAATGATATTTTAATATAGTTGGAGATCATTTTGCTCATTTATAAAGTGTCAAAGAACTATTTTGATCCTTTTCTCTATAAGAAAAGATCGGTTGTCTTTAACTTGATGCTAATATAGTTGGCTTGTGTCAGTTCAGTAATTTGCTAGGATGTTTTGAATTAAATTTAACTATTGTTCGGTTATCACGGATTCCAACGCTAATCAACAAAATTATTTTGCTATAATTTAGTGGCCTTCTTTTATTTTTTTGTGATATAATTTAGTGACCCTGAATTATTCGATATTTTTGAATACGGTTAGGGTACACTTTGAGTCCCTTCTTAGATACTGATAAGCACGGGTGTTTTTTTATTTAATTTTACGTGCACGAAAACATAGAAATGTGCAGCTTGATTAAACTTTATTTTCCTTTTTATTTCATCATAAATGAATGTAATTAATTAAATAGTGAAACATTTTCATGGTTCTGCTTGTTGTTGTTTATCTTAATATGCCCACTGGGGCTAAGGACAGCTAACCCAAGATATCACCATTTAATGTTTCTGTTGAAAGCAATGGAGAAGTCCATAAGAAACTTCCTTGCATATCCCATAATAATATACCGTGGGCATGTTCTATTTTTGCCGACTGACCCACTCGAACTGTTGACCAATCTCTCCACACCTTATTTATTCTCTCAGTACGTCACTTTACCACTCCCTCATTCTCAGAGGATATGTTTTTTCAGCTGCCTGATCCTCTCACTCCCTCACCCTCATTTTCCCAAGCATCGAAATTGTACATATCAAAGGAAACTTAAGCTGCTTGTCGACAAACTATTTCATAAGATCTCCATGATATTATAACACCCAAGTTTCATACTATGATTATAATGTTTTTCATTTGATGTTGCAACATTGCTTGTATTAATGGTCTTGACAATGTAATGACATGTCATTTAGTAGAATTTGATTGTGCTACGATAGCTATTACTTTGTATTTATAATCTAGTAACGGTGCTGTTGAATTAATGGGTGATAATTTGATAATTTAAGAGGGGAGTTCATTAAAAGCGAAGAAGAATTGCTTAGATCCCAATCAGCAAAAAGTTTTCTTCCCCAAGAAAGCAATTTCCTTTTATGCATGTTTTCTTCTTCTGTGCTTCATATTTTGCTCGTCCTTTTATTTTTGCAACCATGTGTTCTACTTAGAAAAACATATTAATGCTGATAGATTGATGATAATTGTTTCAGGGGTCTGCGGAAGTAATTTATGTAAGGAGAAGTGATGCCATAGCTGCTGTAAAACGTTATAACAACGTTCAGCTTGATGGTAAGCCAATGAAGATAGAAATTATTGGAGACAATTTGGGCCTTCGGGTTGCACCTCGTGTTAATGTAGTTGGAGGCGCTAATGGCAGAGGAAAAAGGACAGTAGTTATGACGTATGTGTTTCTTCACAATATTTAATATGGATTTTATGATGTTATTTCAGAAAATTCATTTCCTTGCCATGTTAAATTTGTTTTTTTTTTTTTGGTAATTTTTTATTTGTTTGGATTTTCTGTTAAAGTAAACTTAGTTCTGCTATTTAAGCTGTGCTGATACATGGTCTTCTTATTTTATTAGGCTTAACCTCCCTGGAGAACTTTGATAGTTGTAATAGCTTTGCTACACCTTGCATGTTAAACTGGCGTTATGGTTTTGCAATGCATTTTCTTCTCCAATTTAGTGTACCTCAATGAATTTCATAGCTCCACCGGAAGTTCTCTCTTTCCTACAAATATAACATGATAGTATATTTATCTTTATTCTTGTAGTGACGTTTGCATGTTGATGTAGCGAGGGGCAGCAGCTGTTATGCATAAGAATTCTTGTTGATATTGATCATCTGTTTCAATCACAGGGCTTTGTTGAATTACCTGTAAGGTTAACTGATGTAGAAAATTCATGCGAGGATGATTTAGATTAAGGAATTTGCACGCTTAATTTTAAAAATCACAATAATTATATCTTTATATTGATTATAAGTGACAAAATAAAACACAAAGAGCGGTAAGACAGGTTTAGGCTAAATCACATGCATAGGAGTTAAGATCATAAACAGTCAGTTTAATCTAACATTGCATGCATGATTGATTTTCAACAATAAATCCCAATGTTGACAATAAGATTAGTCCCTAAGCAATGATCCCTCACTGAACTCTCTAACTTACTAAGCTTTAGCGGAGAGATTGGCACAAGTCTTTATGATTTAATTATATCGAAAGTGAAAAAATAGGAGGATGAGTTTACCCAAAGAAGAAGAGGATGCGAAGCTCGGGTGTAGTAGTTTAGGGTCTTGAGAAGGGGGACAACAACACAACTTTTATCAGCATTAGGACAACAATCTTGAGGAGCTCTGGAGGGTAGACAACGAACTCCCTTGGGCAAGATTCTTTGGACAACTAGTTGCAACTTCTGGATAGCAACTTCAACAGCAAGGGCAAAAGTTTGACAACTTCCGGGTGGTGGACAACACGTGGACTTGATCCTGGGATCCTGGAGCAGCAACCTGGAAGTTCTGGACAGCATGACATGAAATTTTGGATTGTATTTCAGCAAGGAATTCTGCTGTAGTTTCTTGGACAACAACTATAGGAGGGCTTATAGCAACGAAATTGTTGATTTCCCTTTGTTGAAATTTCGGGGCAGCAAGGTAGAATGCCCAGGAATTTGTGGCAACAGGTTTGGGAGCAAGATTTCGGGTAAGGAGGAGGGAAGGGTGCCGGCCAATGGAGGGAAGAGGAAAGCGTCCACATTCAACGAATGTGAATCTTTGCATTGAATGTTTATTGATGACTCCAAATCTGAATTAATTTCAGATTTGCATCCATTGGGGAGACTTCCTAAAATAGTTTTATTAATTATGATAATATTTGAAATTCAATTTAATTTGAATTCAAATTAATAAACTTTCCATATTAATAATAGGCTAAATTAGGAAGGTATTGAAGATGCAATTTGAATTTTGAAATCAAGGGGATTGTTTTGGGGGGGGGGGGGGTTGAGATTAATTTGAAATCCAAATTAATCCTAATTGAGGGCTTAAGTGGGGCGGTAGCCAAGGGGAATTTAATGGGCATTTAATGAGAGTCTAGGTGTCAAATTGTAGAGAGAATGGGGCTATAGAGAGGCCGGCCATAGGGGAAGGAATTTGATGTGTCTTGGTTTGATGTATGGGCCAGGGGAGGATTTAATTAGGGATTGTCAATTTCAGATTTAATTTAATTAAAAGTTTCCTAATTTAAGTTTATTAATAGGGAATGCTTTGAAATTCAAATATAATTGGAATTCAAATGAGCAACTTTCCAAATTAATAGTGGGGTAAATTAGGGATGTAATTAAGGTTGTTTTGAATTTCAAAATTAAGGTCATGGGAGGGAGGGGCTGACGGCTAGTGGAGGCTAGGGGAGTCCTGCAGTGGGGGAGACTGACGGCGGACGGGTGAGGGGATGTCGGCGGCTTATGGAGGTGGTGAGGGTTGGCGGGTTAGGGAAAGAAAGAGAAGGGGTTTGGAAGATTCGACCGGTGGCTAGGGGTCTTGGGCTAGGTGACCGGTGGTGGTAACCAAGGAAGAAGGAAATACAAAGTACTAACTGCGAGTCCTGAAATCCACCGGCGGCTGATGACGGGTGATGCAAGACTCTCTCCTAGGGTTTCTCCTCACAAGAACTCACAAAGAGATTAAATAAGAAAAATCTAAAAATTTTCATTCATAATCATCATTAACTCAAAATACAAGAAAACTAGCCTATAAATAGGCATCATGAAAAGAAAAGAAACAATGACTAAAATGTCATTCGGGCTACAACACCTTATGACCACCCCTAGGGGTAAAATGGGAAAAACGGAAATATAAAATAAACTAGTACATAAAACATATAAAAAAAACTCCAGATCGTAGCAGTTGATCTCTACTGTCCTCATCATTAACATTATAAATTTTTACACCATGCATCATGTCATCAAATTCTATAATTTTATCAGAATTCCTTTACTTATTATCATTCTTTAATGACATTCCTTTTCTTATTATCATTCTCTTAGTGACCTCCAAGGACATGATGAATGATTATGCTAGAACCAATATCAAGCACAACATTGTTAATGTCAATATCTGAAGTTGCTTATGTATGCAATCTAAATGGATAATCTGAATGCAATGAACAGCATTATTTGATGAATGAAGAAATTTATCACCACATGAAATTTAGTTATAAAATTACTACCTTCTCTTCTAGATCATCACAAAATACTAAGAGTAATTAAATGTTTATGTTTGCAAGGCTCTAAAAAGTGGATCGGACATTGAACCAAGTGAATGAAATATTCAAAGTTTAATTGGAATTTAATTGGGTGTTGAATAGTGATGATATAATAAATATTAAAATGATTTAAGTATTAATTAAATGATGTAATCATGATACAACTATTTGGAGGGAAAAAAAGATAAGTACCTCAAAAATTTGCTTCAAAATTGTTTTATATATAATATAATTTACCACATATCAAGCATTCTACCATAACACAAGCCATAGGTAAATAAAAAAACAATCTAGGAACCACATTAAAGCAAAACAAAGACCCTGGATTTTCATTTAATATATCCACAAAAAGCAGAGAGATTAACTCATTGCCTTAGATCAAAATATACAATCATAGAGAACTGAAAATGTGGATAACCAAGAAAGCAAGCAATCCCCAAAGTTGAGAAACAAGATTTTTTAATTGGAATGATGCATAATCACAAATGAAAAGTGCATGCACTGAAAAAAAGAAGTCATTGATTATGAGAAACACGCTGCTTGCACCATTGAGGAGGACATCTTAGTAGGAGATGCAAGGTAGAGGGATCAAGGGATTATTGGATTGAATGGAAAAGGCAAATGACGAACCAGTGAAGTTGGAAAAATCGGGAATTTGAGAGGCTAGGGCTTCCATAATTTTATTTAGTAAATCTATATTTTTAAATTATTAATTTTAAGATTACTTTTCATCCCTCTAATTAAAAAAGAGTAATGATAATTTGGTCATGCAATGAATTGGATAGTTCAATTAAACTGGAATAAGTTTGCTGGTATGATGTTTCAACCATCGGTTCCCCGTTCTCCTTCCCCCCACCACAAGTTCCATCCTTAGTGTTCCTCAGTTTACCTTGGTCTCCCCCAAGGTTTGCAGCCATTTCATCCCCAAGATGACATCCGTACTCCCCAATTCCAAAGGAAGAAAATCCTCCCTCACCTGTATCACTTGAATGGTTAACACCACTCTCCTACAAACTCCTCTACCCATTTCTACCTTCCCCGTGCCCATCATAACCCCGTATCCTCCTGTATCCACTAGATTCATTCCCAGTAGATCAACAATGTGGGTGGATATGAAATTATTGGTCGACCCACTATCTATCAACACTATCACCCCCCTATCCACTATCTCTCCCTTCACCTTCATAGTGTGATTTGAGGTGAATCCCACTATTGAGTTTAGGGAGACTTCGGCCACATCTAGATGCAACTCCCTTCACCTTCATATTGTGATTCGAGGTGAATCCCACTACTGAGTTTAGGGAGACTTCGGCCTCTTCTAGATGCAACTTCTCTTCTTCCTCAGTTTTTAACCCACTTCCACCTCCCTCTTCAGCTTCCTTGTCATCACAGACGGTGAATACCTGAAGAGTTTGGTCCTAACACCTATACCCTGGCATGTACTTCTCATCACACCTAAAACACAACCCCTTTGCCCTTTTCTCTTGTATCTCCTTCTCTGTCAGCATCTTGAAACTTCCCCCATTTCTTCCTCTTCCAGTTCTCTCCTTGGCCACTTCCTTCGTACTTCCTTACGCTGGCCCCTTATGGGCTAAGAAAGTAGTGGTCATCCTTTACGGTCCCCTCGAGTTGTTCCCCCTAGCCCTTCTCTCCAAATGCTTATGATCCTCCACCAATTGGGCTAGCTCCATGGCTTCCCCTAGGTCTCTTGGCCTCATCACTCTAACTGCTGCCCTTATCTCCTGTTTAAGCCCTTTCATAAAGTTTCCCTCCAGCAGCGTCTCTGTTAGTCGATCCAACCTGCTGGCCAAATACTCGAACCTGTCATGGTAATTTTCCACGGTCTCCTCCTGGGTTAAAGCAAAGAATTGCTCATAGAAGTCTCATCCCCTACCGGTTCGGAAACGTTCTAGTAAGCACTCCTTGAACTCTCTCCAGCTCCTAATGGGTTGCCTCATGTCCCGCCATTGGTACCAAGCCAGTGCTTTCAAGTTGTCTGCTTTTCTTCCTCCGTCAGCCCGTTGTCGGCAAAATACCGCTCCACCTTGTAGATCCAACCATGGCCATCCTCGTCCTCAAAGATGGACATCTTCAGCTTTCTCACCTTCGGGTCACCCCAATTGTCCCTGAATCCTCCATATCCTCCCATGCCACGAAAGGGAGGTGCTCCTCAGCTGTCACGATCTTCCCTCTGGCGATCATAACCATATCCTTCATCAACTTACCCTCTCCTTCTTTCAAATTCGGCACCTCGGTGGTGGAAATCCCCTTCTTCCCACAAAATCAGCACCCCTCTTTTTGTATCTCATACTCATCTCCTCTCTAGAAAGTGGTTTTATAAGTGGCATGCCTTCCTCTCTCTCAAGGATCTCTATTTCTGGATTCTCCCTCCCCCTAAACGGGTTCGGATTCCCTCCTCTACCATTGCCGCCGGTGGTCTCCCTTGCTTTCGATGTCGTCGGATTAGTTTTCACCTCTAGTAATCTCTTAAATCTCTCTTCCATCAAAGTGAATTTTTCTTCCAACCTTTCGTTGTTGGAGGAGATTTGATTTTGAAAATCAAAGAAATTTTCCTCCAAATCTGATTTTAATTGCCCAATTTCACCTTCTAACACTTAGAATTTCTTTTCGGACATCTTTCTTCCCAAGATTTGCGAGAGGATCTTCTTGCGGATGGAAATCCTTTGCTGAAATTTCTTGATTTCAGCCACCGATGGTCCCAAGATAATGTTCTGATACCAATTTGATAGGAAGTACTTGAGTTCGCAAGTAACCCCCAGGGTAATACTTGAGTTCGCAAGCAAACCTAACAAGATTGGGTGGAAAACAGTGAGGATAACTGCTGTTTACAGCAGTCAAACAGCAGCTTTTCTTAGGAAAACAGGCAAATATGAGAGAAACAATGGGGAAATCTACTAATAGATGAAAGAAAACAGCAAATGATACAAGTTTTTTTAATTCGAGAGGAAGAAACAGCTCTCCAAATCTCTAGCCAAATGTAGAGCCCAAGAACATAAACCCTAGATCTCAAATTGCTTTTCAAATTCAAGATGAAACCCTCATTCTATCCCTAGCACCTCATTAAAGCAAAAAGAGACAAAATTCCTAAATGGCCCCCCAGTTCAAATTCCCCCCTTAAACACTTAATAATTCAAATTTCCCCCTTAAACTAATAATTCAAATTTCCCCCCTAAACACTTATTACATTACTTGCTTGAGCCCATTAGGCCAACCTCCCCCCTCCCCCTATGCCGGCGGTAGTACACCTGGGACCGGTTCAGCCCGGCCTAACATGGGGATGGATGTTTTATCCATTTTTATGTGCTGTTGAATTGCGTGGTTTGTAAACTTGATTGGCATACATCTATGCCGTGATTTAGTTTAAATTCATAACAATTATATTAAGATGCATGCTACATAATTAGTTGGCGTACTAGTGCGCTGTAATCTTTTTTGATATTTTAATTACAACTCACTGAACATTGGTTATGCTGGTTGCAACTTATTTATTTAAGGAGATTTTGCTAGTTACTTCTATGGAATCATAATTTTACAAAAATTACGCGTCTATTTCCCTTTTTTCATGGTATCCATGGTCTAGTTACTTAAGTGGCTTGTATAGCTGCTGCAGAAATGTTCTGTTGTGGAGACTGGTGGCCTAGTTGGAAGTATATAGATCTTTGCTCATCTTTACTTCCCATAAAAGCCAAGAAAGAATTGAATTTTTTATGTTCTCGTGCTTTAGCGTTGCCCACTAGCATTATCCACAATTGATAGGACCTTGGCTAAATGCGAACTTTTTAAAGCTGGACTGGGCATTCAATAGGAGGAAGCAAAGTTTCAAGTTTCGAAGGTTCAAAGATTCAATGGTGATGACGTAAATATGATTATATATATATATATATATATATATTGAAATGCATCTAGATTTAGCAAATAATTGAAAGAACCGTTTGATTCATTAAAACTGCTTCAACACTTAATCGGGTTAAATTCCCTTTTACAACTTTTTAAAACTGTTTCTCAACAATCCTGTTTTATCACTGGATTTAACCTGTTCACAGTCCGACTGGCCAGTTTTGTCTGATCTTCAAAATCATGGGTATATGATCATTTCCTCCCCTGCCTAGAACTCTAGGTGAGTGTTAATTATAATGATAGTCTAATTAAAGGTTTTTTGTCGAATATTGGCATTGGTTTGACTTTCTTTTTTAAATTTTAACTAACTGTAAGCATGGCTCTCTGTTTTTAGTTAGTTTAAGGGAAATACTTTTCACTAATGCATGCAACAATTTGTCAAAGTTTATTTTCTAATGCATTTGTGGTTTCTTCAGGCCAGAGTTTGGTCAAGCTGCTGCGGGGTCCTTCAATCGAGGGTCGGGGTGAGTACTCAGTCACTGACTTGGTTTCTTTATTCTTTATTTGCTTAACGTCTTCTATGCTTGTGCAGTCAGGTGAGATATAAATTTATAACCGACCGTCTTACTCATACATAACAACAACAATAACATCAAGTCTTTATCCTACTATATGGGGTCGGCTACATGAATCTTTTTTCTCCATTGTGTTATGTTAAAAATTAAATTATCATTTAAATATTATAAAGAAAAGTAATTTCTAATATTTTCTAACCAAGTCTTTTTAGGTCTACATCTACCTTTCTTACATAAGTTAAATCTAATATATCTACTTTCCTAACCGGGTCATTGGAAGGCTGCCGTTTTATGTGACCAAACCATCTATAAGATGACTCTCTCTAATCTTATCTTCCACTGGAGATACTCAAACCTTTTCACGTCTCAGTTATACATAAGTAAATAGAAGATTTCATGCGGATAATTGTATATCCATTTTAAGGTTAATTCATTGTAACCTGATATTAGGAGCTTGATCTTGCTTATGGCGTTTCTACAACAATAATAACATCAAGCCTTCTAATACATCTTCTCTCCTATCCTAACCGGGTCATTGGAAGGCCACTGATTTATGTGATCAAATCATCTAAGACGGCTTTCTCTAATCTTATCTGCCACTGGAGCTACTCCAACCTTTATCTTGCTTTTGGTATTTCTACGTAAATTCAAAATTGCATAAATTTGTTATTTTAGTTTTGTTTTTATAAACTGAATAAATTGGCTGGAAACTCTTCCATCTATTGAACAAAAGAATGAAATGCTACACAAAGCTGGAGTGTGCCTAAAATTAGGAATTTGAAGTGCCGGTGGCTCAAAAAAATGTAGCAAGGCATTTTTAAAGCTACCCTCACTCCATAAACTCGTACAGTGAGTGCAATTTTTAAATATAATATCTACTATTTCTGTTTTTACTCTGTCCATTCTATGTTATAAATAATCCATCCTAGAATAATCCAGCTTGTAAGATAATGTTTGTTTATTTTTTAACTGGGTTTCATCCTAGCATACTCCAGCATGATATATTTATGCATTGATTTTTAATTCATGTATTTTACAGCCGGAATCATGGACGCACTCTGGGTCGTGGAGGCCTCAGGGGCCAAGGCATGAGCACTGTCCGTGGTCGCAACTTACGTGGCCGTGGACGCCGCAATGACCGTGGTCGTGGTCGCAACCAACCAAGTAAGAAAATGACAGAAGATTTAGACAGAGATCTCGAAACATACCACGCGGAAGCCATGAATACATCATAATGTGGTAACTCACCATGCATCATCTATCTATATGAAAGTTGCTTCCTTTTCTTGTCAGTACCCAAAAAAAAAAAGAGATGCTGCAGTAAAGCATTTTGGACCACTATGCTCTGCTATCATGTAAATGTTCTGCTTTTACTTTCCCTTGTTAGGATTCCTTATGAGAAAACCAAACATCTTTAGGAATTTCAAGTTTTATAGTTCAGTCTTAAACATTAAGATTTTGAATTTTATCCACTTGTAGATGTTGAACCAGGTAAAATTGTCTAGGACTGTGAATGAATGTGTTTCAAGCTTTGTTATAAATGCCACAACATTGAACACTTCTTTAATGATACAATCAAAATGAAACAAAAAAAATGATACAAATTTATAATCTTCAAATTTGTATTAGAAAAGTAGTTCTGATCAAATTTTAGTGATAATATTTTGATCCAAATTCTCTTCTTTAAGATGCTTCTTGATCTGCCATTAAAAAGTCTTGCCTTTGTGCAGCAAGCTTGTGTTTGTTGGGATTTATATTATTTTTGTTTAATTTGTCTGTACATTCTAATCATTGTTACTGGCTACACAAATATAAACAGGAATTCAAATCCTCTTCTCATTTAATTGTGCCATGCTGATCTGAGTCATTCAAATCATATTGGATGATTGAGATTAATAGTGTTTACTCTTCAAAAATTATTAGGGACACCATATGGAGTCTTCCACTTCTACTGTTCTATTGATGAGTTTCAATTAGGAAGCTTCTTTTAAATTTGGGGGATTAATTTGATATCTTGGAATGATTATGGATTTATATTTATAGGTCTTAAATTTTTATATTTTTATAAAACTATTATTTAAATCACCTTAAAATGTATACTTAAAAAGGATTTTTTTTTTAAATAAAATAATATTAATGATATTTTTATATGTGTGAAAATTATAAATATGAATGTATTAATGGATTTATGTGTGTTTGAACTGATATTCATCTTAGAAGATTGAAAATTAGACTCTAATTGTGATCAAAAACATTTTTGGAATAATTTTCTTATTGCTTTTTATGGCAATTTTTTTTTTCTATAACAAATTTTTTGAAATCCAAAGATATCCCAAAGAAACCCAAATTTAGCTGATTTAGGCTTCGTTTGGGACGGCTTTCTTATTGTTTGATAAAGTAAATTTTCAATAATTTTTTATACTAGAAAGCTGCGTTAAGAAGCATAAAGAAAGTCGTCCCAAACGAAGGCTTAACCAGATCTTATATCAGGTTCAACAGCAGGAGATGATTTCCTTGCTTAGGCAATGAGATAATTGACACATGAAACTGGTATTGAAGAAAATCTTCTGAAAATTGAATGAAAAAAAAAGTAAAAAAAGCAGGTCAAAAAAGAAAAAACTAGCTCAAACTTTACATTCACGAAGACATAATAATCTATCATTAATCAAATGAAAAATACAACATCAGCTTCAAAAAGCACCTTTTTCCCCCTATTTAAAACATTTTTTGTCTACCCCTTTACAAATACAGTATAAGAAAAAAAAAAACTGCAACAGAAGCTTTCTTTATGATACACGTAAAAGAATATGAGTTTAGAAAAAAAGATAGCTAACTGGCTTCAATATTTATCCAATGTTCTCCTAGGTACAAGGTTTGCAGTTTCTTTCTGGTGAGACTTCTCTCAGACTAATTCGTCCAGTTTGTTCTCCCACTGGGTCTTGGATTCGTTCTTTGAGCGAGTTCCAGCTCTGGTTTTTGAGTGTGAGGAGCTGATACTCTTCATTCTGGTTCTTATGGCGCGAGAGAATCTCAACTTCTGTGGGTTTAATGGTGAGGATTGCATGAGGCATTCATAGCTACCGCCTTAAATGAACTTTTGTTAATTCCTTTTCTAGGTTTGTTTTCCTTTCACATTTTCTGCTGAGTTGGAGATCGATTGATGTGTTTCAGCATCTTATCCTTTCTTATTGCAAAAAGACAATCAATCTCTATTTTAGTTTGTTTGTTAAAGTTACTTATTTACAAACTTTAATACCCTATCCGCTTCATTGTTTTTTTTTCTTGTTTGAGTGACTTATAAATCCTATTAATTGACTCTATACTTGTGTATTGTTAATCAGTATTACATTGCCCTTGTATGTTAGTTCTTGTTCACATATATTGGTCTACAATTCCTCGTAATAATTATTTGAATGAAATAATTCTAAAATAGTCTCTAATGATTATGAATTAAAGTAGGCTATCTCAATGATTTTCATGTTTTAAATCGATTTTCTCATAATTAATTCGTGTGGGTCCGTTTTGTGAAGATAATAAAAATTGCATCATGATCACCCCAAAAAATGTCGCATACGATATGACGCGTCGTAACGTGGGTACGAAGACCGAACCGGAGGGAGAACCGTCGGTGTCCGCATAGAAATATAACTAAGCCTACTCTAGTCATTGGGATCGTGGACACAGTTAGGCTTGAGCGTAGCGCTTGATTAATCGAAGAGTTTTTGGACAATGTTCAACTAGAGAGGATGATCAATTGCCAGGACTAATTTATTCTCACCTCAAATAAGCTAATACCAATAGCCCTATTCTACTTTTTGGGGCAAACTTTATAATTTTACTTCTACAATCATTTCATATGATACGTCTTATGGGGATGATATTAAAATTGACAGACTAAAAGGTTTTTATAGATTGAAAAAAAAAGAGCAGGACTTAGACATTATTTTCAGATTCATTTTAACAACGTGTAAAAGGGAGAGTAACCAGAAAACTTTAAAATAAACAACTGATAATTCAGGTACGAGTTGGATTTGTGTTTGTGCTGCTTACAATGAATATCTTCTGACGGTTCTTACCTCGCTCTATCAGACAGTGATGAATAGATGTGGCATTAATGAACAGGACAATATGACATTCAACCCTACACTCTGATTCTCAACTGAATTTGCGTCCTAACAGGCGCGTGAGAATCTTCACTATCTGCATGAACATATCACAAAGGCCACTTCCAATCAAATTTATTCCCACCCTATACATAGTTTTTTCATACGCAAGTAAGCTCGACACAGGTACTTTATACTAAAAGTTGAATTATCACGCCCCCTGTGCATACATAGCAAATCCTCCATCCTAATTAATCTCCGCGTCAGACGTTATTGAGGGCTCTCTTGTAGAACCTAACTAAGATGGCAGATACTTACTTGGTACCTTCACGCTTAGGTACTGCTCGTCAGTTGGGCGCATTCCTTGGTTAGCCTCCAGATGGCGTTTTTTTCGCGTCTGGTTCTGTCTCCGACAGATAATTATTTACCTAAAAAAATGATTAATCAGAAAAAAATTATTAAAAGAAAAAAAGGTAAGGACAGCAGTTCGTACTGCAAATTTCTCCTTCCACAACACCTGCTTGATACATCATCGCCGGGAGGTTAGTAAAGCTTTTGGATCATTAAGCTTTCTGACTTTCTGTATAAAAGTAATCCTCAAGCAAACTAAAATAGAAAGCATGGAAGCTGTCCAAGAGGCATGATAAATAAAGCTATTTAACTATTAATCATCAAATTCACGATAGCATAATTACAAGTAATTCTCTGAACATAAAACACTAAAACTCATCCAGATATGATACCAATTAACATACTGCTCTAATGGAGTACGGGTGGCCTCATGGCAAGAAATCATCCTGCTGACAGAATATTAGTAGTAGTTTGAAGTAGTCGCGCAAACAACATGCAAGAGAAATATGCCTCGAAGTTCCCAATATTAACAAGAAGAACTCAATGAATATTCCAACCTCTAAATCTAGTCTCGCTAATTAAGTAGAGGAATCTTGAGACCCCAACTTCACAACCTGCCATTAAAAATAACATATTTAAGCGTCTTAGGATAAGTATCTCAAGAAATATGATGAGTGTTAGCTATTCGGGGAAAACTGAAGACAAAAGAACGGAGCTAAGTTTTGAGATAGAATATCTCGAGCCATTTTTTCACATCAATTTAATTGTATTTTCCATAATTCTATAAATTCAAGTCCACAATCGATAAAGTTAAACATCAATAATACTTTACTAAACAAATTCGAGGTTTTAAGAGTACTATCCTATGATACGGATTAGATTCTCTTTGTTTTTCTACCCAAATAAATCGATAATGGATAATCTCACAAAATCCACCAAGCTTCCAATTCAGCAAAGCCATTCCTACACTCGGAAAACCTAAAATTATTTTCGATTACATAAAAAAAGAAAAAGAAAGAAAGAAAAGAAAAATCACCTGTAGAACGACGGAATTAATCACATCAGCATACTTCACGGCAAGATTCAACGACATACACCTAGCTGGCGCAATTGCATAACACCGGATCCGTCTCCTTTCAATCCCCCCAAACTGATCCCGATGATTCACCACAATCACCGTCATCAGCGCCGCCACTCCAGACCCCAATGAATGCCCGGCAAAAACCAACTTATATTCCTCCCCCACCTCCCCAATCACCCGCCGCAGCATCTCCGTCTCCCGATTAAGAATAAATGTAGCCGCCTTAAGCAACCCATGATGCACATAACCGCCATCGAACATCTGCCTTCCCAGCCGATTATCCAGCAAAACCTTGTAATCGCTCTCACGGGAGAGATTGAGGCCGCGAACGGCTAGAATGATCTCGCGATGGTCATGATCGGCGTAGATTAGGTAGGGAGGGCATCGGCCCTCGGTTTCTTCGTAGGGCACTCGTTTGAGGAGCCATTGAGGATTCATGCCGTAGCCGGACGGAGGAGGAAACCGGGGGTGGGATAGATCGTCCTCGTAGACGGCGAGTATGGCGCGGCATAGGCGAGGGATGGGTTCGATTTCTTCGTCGGAGGCAGGAGGCCATGATTCGGAGTCGTATGAGCCGACATAGGTGAGGCGTTTCCATGCCCAGCGGGTGCAGCCGAGGCAGAACACGCACTCTAGGCCGCATGCCACCGACATACCGCCGGAAAAGGCGGCGGTGGTGGCGGCGGGAGATGGAGGAGACTACTGGAAGAAGCTGGACATGGTTACCTGGAGATTGTAGACAGTGGCGTTTAATTATAAGCTAAGCTTGGTTATAAATAGCTTATTATTATCACTAAATTAGTCTAAATAACATAATTAGGAATTTAAGAGTGTGATTAATCTTTGGGGATTAGCTTAATGATCCTTACAAACTATTTTAAGCTTCTAATTAAAATATTTTAATGCTGCTTTGATTGATTTTGTTGGGGGAAATTTACATAGGTATCACTACATATTATACTATTTACATATCTAACGTCCAAATTTTTAATATTTCATGCCTACCGCTCATAGAGGGCTTTAATATCAAATGTGCCACCACTATATTTGAGAAATTATTCTGTGCAGAGACCAAATCAATCAGAACGTGCCACGTTAGCAGCGTAGAGCCGCTATACAGAACAAGGCGTGACGTGGTGCATTCTGGTTGATCTTTGGATAGTGTTAGGTATCCGCACAGAATAATTAATCCCTATATTTCATTCATATCACCCATATTTTCCAATAAACTTTAATATTTTATTCTTTGCACCTATAATTGATCTATGGATCATGGATGGTAAGTATGAAATATTAAAATTTTGAGTGTTAAATATATAAATAGCATGATATAAAATGGTATGTATGTAAATCTCCCTTTTTTTTTTATATTCAAATGAGGTTGAGGAATGGTTGACTTTGACTTTTTAAAATAATAAAATTTATGAAAATTTGTTTTTGATCAAATATCTCTTATTTAGAAATATATAAATAACAATTCCAATAAAAAAAATCATGGATTTTTTTGTAAAAAATTAAAAATAGCAATGCTATTCATAGTAATGTGTTAAACATATTTTCATATGATATTTTTTTCTATAAGAGTAGTATTGTTAATTTATTATTATGTATAAATAGGCAATGCATTTATTAATTAGTATTATTAATTCCTATAAATAGGAAACGTATATATTAATTTATTTTAATGATGTTTAAAATAAAAGCCATGTTGAAATATATTAATTTAATATTATAAAAAATAAAATAAATCATTTTAATTAAAATTTAATTGAAATCTTCTCATAAATTTTTTTCCATAGGAGTAAAAAAAAGGCAAATTAGATTGTAATTTAATAATAAAAAATATCAGGTTATTAAATTTACATTTTTTAATGTAATATAAGGATTTATTACTTGAATATAATGTTATATTTAATAAAAAATAATTTAGTTAATCAAGGTTTAATTAAGATAATAAAAAATAAAAAAAAAATTATACTCATCAAAATATCAATGCTATCCATAATATTAAAACAAAATTGCCCTTAATAAGCACACACTTTTTAACATATTGACAATGTTAATGAAGAAAATCATCATATTTATATAAATTAATATTTCATTTAATGACCATTTATTCAATAGAAAGTTCCATAATAATCTCCAATAATTTCCAAAGGAAGAAATCAAAGCTTCATTTGAAACAACTTTTTTATTACTTTGATTTTCAGATCATAATCATAATTTTTATTTGACTACTGATATTTCATTACTTTAAAAAATTTATACAAAAAATTACTTTCTATAGTAATTTTAAAAGTTAGTTTCTCTACAACAACTTTACAAAACACTAAAAAAGTTGTCTCAAATAAGAGATTTTGTGCGGTCACAAGACGGTACGGAGGCGAATCAGGATGCACCACATCATACGATACACAACAGTACACAGTACTAGTACATAGCTAAAAAATGACGTATCACATACTGATTCGTATCTGAACGACATCCGAAGACCACACATAATAATTTCTCCTCCAAAAAAACCTAAATTTAAAATATGAGATTTAGCTTTTGAAATAAAATAGCTAAAAGATAAAGTGGTATTAGCAATTATTGGAGAGAAAAGTTTTAAAAATTAAACTTAAATTAATAATTTATATATTACACTTCTTAAAATAAACTAAATATAATAAAACTCTTTTTTGCCAATGTTTTATTGAGAATATAATGAACAAAATCATGTACATAAATTTCGGGCTTCGTTAGGAACAATTTTTTTACTTATTTTAAAACAATTTTTTAATATGATTTTGTTTTAAAGCAACAAAAATAAATAGTGACAAAAAAAAAAAATGTTACAAATAAAAACTTTAATGTCATTTCAAATCCACATATAAATAAATAAAAATATTAGATACCTAAATATAGGGCTGTCAATATTTGACACGACACGAAAACCCAACACGGACCCGACCTGGAAAATCCGTGTTGGACCCGACCCGTTTTAAAAATGGGTCGGGTTCGGGTTGACCTGATGGGTTGGCGGGTCAAACTGGAAACATGTTTAAACTGACTACGTGACAGCGCAGGCGCGCTGCAGCGCACCCGACCAGCGTCGCACCCACCGCCCGCGCACCCGACCAGCGTGCGTTTATTGAGAAGTCTAAGACGTCAATTGAGTCAAGATTATTATAAAAAAGATGCCAATTCATAATTGACCAGAAAAAATTTGAACACGTTTTTAATAAATACATATTGCCTTCAACGTTAAGCACGCGTCCGCGTTCTTTCTCAACTACTATCACTTTAGGTGAAAGGACAACCGATTAATATTAAAAAAAAAATCAGATGATATTTGACTGAAATTGACAAATAGTGATGATAAAATAGAAAAAATAATTAATAATAATATGATTTTTTTAGGCTTAAAAACAATGAAATCATAAACTCTGATATAAAAATTAAGGGACAGTTTAGGATAGGGGTGTCAATTTCGAGTCACGGGTCAAGTTCGGGTCGAATCCGAAACTGACCTGACACTATTCGGGTCAACCCGAACTCGACCAGTTTTTAAAAACGGGACAATTTTTCGGACATGAACCTGACCATCTTCAGGTCCGGGTCAACCCGACACGACCCGAATGACCCGTTTCCAACAAAAAAATTACTAGTTTTCGAGTCAAAACAGGTCTATTTCCTCTTTTTCGAGTAAAAAACGGGTCAAAATTGGGTCAATCTCGGGTTGACGAGTCAAAATTTTGAGTCAAAATTGGGTTTATGGGTAAAAAACTGGTCAATTTCAGGTTAAAGGGTTAACCCGAACCCAACCCAATTTTTGAAACAGGTCGAAATGTTGAACCCGATCCGTTTCGGGGTCGGGTTGACCCTAACTCGAAATTTTTGGGTCGGATTTTCAGGTCGTGTCAAATATTGATACCCCTAGATTAGCATAACTTTCTTACCACTTTTCAAGCTACAATCATAATTTTTATTTGATTACTAATTTTTTAATATTTTTTTAAAAAGAAAAAAAAAAGATGTTAATGTAAGAAACATGACAAATATTAGCCTTTTTCTTTTCGGACATTTGAGCTATTAAAGCTAAGATTCACGCACCATTACATATCCAAGATTCAAATCCAAGACCTTTTGGTTAGTAATCAAAGTCACCAATCAACAAATTAAGTCAATTTTTGTGCTTTCTTTTTCAGACTGTAACAATAATTTTTATTTGAAGATTATTATTTTTTTTATTTTCAAAAAGATTGTACTAAAAAATTACTTATTATAATAACATTCAAAATTTGATATTTATTTATATAATACCTAAAATAACTCTCTGTTTTGCTGAGGATGAGATTAGGGTAGTTAAGACGGCTCACCAGTAAAATCTGGAGCTCGAATTCAAGCTTGAGCTCGACTAGTTGCAATAAAGCCGGCTCGGGAGGCTGAAGAAGGCGTCGATGTGATCATCGCCGGTGACCGGTGAACAAGGCGTCGGATGCTGCAATTGGTTTTTTATTTTTTGGAACTTGCGGCCTAGCTTGTGAGGTCACAGCAAAACACGGAGAAAGGAAACTTCGATGTGATCACCGTCGGAGAAGAAGAGAGCATAAGGTGCAGCATCAGCACTTTTTGTTTTTAAGCTTTTTTGATGGGAACTTAGGACATCTCCAACCGAAAACCCATTTTTCACGGCAAAATACAGTAAAACTTCAAAATGCGACAATTCTGCTCCAATCGAACTCCAATTTGCGGGCTTCCCTCGTCGTAACCGTCATTCTCCATTTTGCGGGTAAATCCCATTGACACATAAAAATTTAGCGGGCGAACAGTGAGACGTCAATATTAGCATCGCATTGTTCATCAGCAAACAAATACCGGAGAAAAAGGCGTTCGGTTACGACATTTGAGGGCCTCCATTCGGTTGTTTGCCGAACGGCTGGAGATGGTCTTACAACCCAACTCGTGAGGCCGTGCAATAAAATGCGACGGAAGAAGGCGTCCACGTTATCAACGCCGGAGAAGAAGCTTGAGGTGCTATAGCTACTTTTTTTTCAGTAGCAACTTTCCTCAAAAAAAAAAAAAAAAAAAAAAAAAAAAAAAAAAAAAAAAAAAACTAGCACCTAAGACATAATGAGCCAGCTTTAGAGCCAAGTCTCGTTAAGTTCAAGCTCTTTTAATAGATGAGTTTGAATTTGAGCTTGAACTTGAGCGCATGCCTTAATATGCTTAACTCACGAGCTTGTTAGTAAATCCAGTTTGAATTGCGGGCTGCGGAGCATTTCACGCCTCTACCTCTCCGCGCCGGCTCTTTTCTTTTTGATGTTTAACGATGGAGGGTTTTAACTGGTTTAGGTTCCGAGTGAATTTTTAAATGGTATATTAAATTTTAGATAAGACAGTACTCAGAGATTTCGTCCTAACTTTGTGAGGACTTTATAATCTAAGTTCTGGTTTCATATAGGCCCAAGCCCCTATAGTTAATTGCATCTCTCGATGACGAGAAAGAACTTTTGATTAAGGCTAATCGTGAGATAGGTACTGAGTACCCAACATATAATAACAACTTTTAGATTTGAATTTAGTTTTATGATTAGAAACTTATCACCATAAACTTAAAACAGGTGATAGGGGGAATGAAGACGAGCCCATTTAAGATCCCATGGTTCCATCATCCTAGGCTATCATGGTCACTAGTCTACTTTGTCAGAGGAAGTAATCGACCCAACCTGACAAAATGCACCTTTTCGACAACCATAGGTTGCTTTGTCCGTGTATACCTTGTAGACCTAAGGTAGTGTTTGTCTAAGGGGATAGATCTGAATACACCTTAGCTAACAGAGAGCTTTATGTATATTGAGTACATCTTATGATTCATTATTCAAGGGTTTGACGTCATTAGAGAACATACGTGTTTGGTCGTGCTCGTAATATAATGAAGTCATTTTACGATAAAACCATCCAATCAGGACGCATGTGCCACGCCGCTGCTGACAAGGGAGTATTCGAGGATAAATTTTAGAATGCACTCGACTTGGCATTCATTCTTTGTGAGTTTATGTTTTTTTTCAAATTTATCACCTCCGATAAACGGTTGCAGAAGGTGGATAAATTTTATTTTTAAGTTTTGGTGATTAGATTTTAAAAATTTTATAGGCTTTTGAGAATTGACTCTTCCGATCAAAATTTAATGTCAACACGCCAAATTTACTTTATATTTTTATAAGAATTTGGAAGGCATTATAAATAGTTGGGGTCCCTTCCGGTTGAGATTTTCTATCAAAACGATCATCATTGGAGATTACATGATTGTCATGTGAAAATTATCTATATCTTGCAAAATTTTAAGAGGCATCTTATAATTCAAGTTAGGTCGACTTTAGTCCTTTCAAGGAGGAGGATGAAACTTGAATATTTGATCTGCACAACATGCTCAGATCATTGAGTTTCTGAATTACATGTGATGATTGAAGCACATGTGGGATATATTTTTTCAACAATAGATTGGGGAAATTATAGAAGTATCGCCTTCTATCCACTTGTGCAAATGTTGCGGATCCAGTGGCGTAGCACTGTGCTATGGGTCGCTTGTTGCTTATTGTACACGAGCTGTCATACACTGACATATTTCCTGCAATTGCTCATAGATGCTTCCATTCATCACAAGCTTATTACTTTTGCCTGCATATCTTCTTACTCATGTTGCAAAACTTTCACTATATTTGCTTGTAGATAGGACCATTGTATGCATTACGGGCTTTCTGTCGTCATCTGCAAGCAAGTTGCATTTAATGCATATCTTCTAGTGTTGTTTATAGGTGTTTGCATTTGCTATATTTTTTTTTATGTATTTGTTCGTAAATAGCATTTAGTATGTATGTCTAGTTTCCTATAGTGGCCCGTAGGTGTTTGCATTATTGCAAATCGACCACCGTTATTTGTGGAGGATAATGTATTTGACTGATATCGAATGGTTGTTGACTGCAAGGGTGTTGTAACATCCATTGTCTGTTGTTGATTATCAACCGTGGGCATATTGTTGCACGTTTGACAAATCTTCCATCATTACCGGCAAGTGTTTGCATTCATTGTCTGCTGCACTATCACTACTTAGAGGTAAATTAATGAGTTTAGTTGCAAGTTAGCTTGCATTTGCTACAAGAAAATTGTGCTCACTACAACTTCCTAAAACATATTTTATTGGTGGATTTCCACCTCCCTTGCATGTCGATCGTCATTGTTCGCAAAAAATTCACGTATTTGTTTACAAGTCAATTGACATTGATCACAGGTCCTTGGTCCCGGCCTGTAAGTGAACTATTGCATTACAAGTTCTTTACTTGTACATTCATCGCAATCTCCTAAAATATACTTATAAGAAAAGTCATTACATTTGCACTAGTCCATTATTGTTATTCATATGTGACTTAGTGTATTCATTTACAAGTTAACTATAGATGGGCTGCATCCATACTAATATCCTTTTAGCAAATTAGCCTATTCATCAAGAGCCACTGTTTGCAATGAGGCCATTATATTTCTGTCAATTCTCTTTGATCATCGCTAGCAAGCAAATTGTGCTTGGCAATTTGTTTATTGAAAAATTCTTACTTGCATGATTAATTTTGTAATTTTGCAAAATTACCAATTTTATCTTAAATATTAGATTTTGTTTCATGCCATTGTTTAAGTCTTGTTCCCTATCAGTGTTCAAGTCCTGTGAGTCGTCAGTTCAAATTTCGATAGCCTCTTGACGTTCCCTCCCGCAAAGAGAGTAGGGAGGATACTTGCCCTTTTAAATCCGCCCAGTCAAATTGGATTCAACAACCAAGGGAAATCATATCGAGAGAGGGAGTTACGTGAGTAATGGGATAGTGGGATTGGTTGGCTTTATTTAATTACGGTCAACATGAATAAGCTCATGAGTTGATTTAGTTTAATCACACCCTTAATTGAACTATTAAAATTGTGTCAAAATATCATGATGTATTTTGCATTAAAAGAGTTTCAAAATCCTTAAATTTGAGCTAAAATTAATTCAATTGAGAAAAGCATATATAGCATTAATATCAATGTAGCTCATCAAGATGCAAAACACATCAAAATATTATAAGTTTTTTTCATAAATATAAATTACTTGTGGCGTATTTATGTAGATCCTACAAAGAAATATTGGTTTAAAACAATTTCATGTAATTTTGATGGAATGGAAGACTTTATAATTTTGAGAAGAGTAAAATCAATGATAAAATGAAAATTTTCACCTTCAAAATTTTCTACAACAAGGTAAAATTCTTTGAATTATACAAAGCACACTACCAGAATCAAATTATATGGCAGCAAAATGACTCAAAATTTGCAAGATTTTGCAGGTTCTATTTGGATCAGATTTGGCACAATAGAATCATATCGCCCAATAAATTGACACTAAGTGATCACAATAGAATCATATCGCCTTTCTATAATTAATAATCTATTAGAGTAGATCAAATATTATAAACAACAACAATAAGCCTTTATCCCACTAAGTGGGTTGACTACATGAAGCTTTTTTTCTATATTGTATCTTATTGAGAGTCAAATTCTCACTTAAATCTAATAAATTTTTTTATTTTTAATACTTTTTAGCTCTACCTCTATCTTAACATAATCTGGACCTAATACATCTACTCTCCTAACAGAGTCATCGGAAGACCGATATGTGATCAAAACATCTAAGTCGACACCTCTCTAATTTTATTTGCCACAGGAGCTAATCCAGCTTTTTCACATAAGTACTCATTCTGCATTGTCATTAAGTGTTAGATCACTCATCCACCTGAGTAACCTCATCTCCACAACACTACACTTAATTTTATGCTTCTCTTTCAATGACCAATATTCTACGCCATAAAGCATTGCATGTCTCATCACTATCTTATAAAAATCTCCCTCAAGTTGTTCAGAATAGTTCAAAAACCTTTATTCAGGAAACTAACAAGTGTTAATACATGACATAACTCACTATATTTTATAAAACAAAGTAGAAGTTCAAATCCTTAACAAACTTATTTTGGGTAAATAGGATGCTGATAGAAAACAGCCACCAATAGTGCAGAAACTTGATGAATTTCAGAGAAATTCAACAAAATGATGCAGATTTTTCAAGCTTCGTAGAGAAATAAGAGGAATAATCACTTCAATTTCAACAATAGAAGAAGAAAACAGCAAACCGATACAAGAATCTTCAAATCTAGAGGACGATTCAACTCTCCAAATCTCTAACCAAAGCCTCAAGCTCAAAAACAAACCCTAGATCTCAAATTCAGCCTCCAAATTCAAGATCACCCTAACCATAGCCAAAAGGAAATTACGTAAAACAAAAGACAATTAATTAATCCCTAAACATCCCCAAATTTGAATTTTTCCTCCTAAATCCTTGCTCCAATCAATGATTGGGCCCCACCCCTGTTCCGCTCCCTTCTATGGCCCACCTCCTGTAGCAATGAACCGGTCCAGGAGGGACCGGTTCAGGTTGGACCGGCCTAAAAGATACATGAAAAGAAAAAATGATATACACTACTGTTATAAATGTAAAACAGAAGCAGCTACAGAGGAGCAAATAGTTCACTTTCCAGGTAAGGTATAAAGTCTACAAGCAGGGGAAAAATGCCCTGATCTAATAGACCTACTCATGGTGCTAAAAACTAGTTGTTGGACTAAAAAGTAGAAATGAATAATGGTCTGTCTGATCATGAATGCAGTTGAAAGTGATCTCTAGTAACAAAAGCAAGCAAATTCAGATGTTTTTACCTTAATCTGAAATTGAAATCAGAATTCAGATGAAAAGACAGACTGCAAGAACATTTCAGATGTTAATTGGTATGTTAGTAAATTCTTGGGCGAGCTTACTAACTACCAACATAGGATTATAAGGTGAATTGTATGATAAAAACCAACTTGTAACAAGAAGAGTTGCATTTTGATTTCTTTTTGAAGGTTTGAGTGGAATTAAAAGACAAAACAAGCAATAATTTCCATGATTTCACTCAATCAAATACATAAACTTGTGTCTGTAGAACCTGGGTTCATTTACTGTCTCCTTCCTCTTCCTTTCTTGGAAACCTGCTGCTCGGCAGGCTCCTTACCCGTAACTTCAGCTATGTCAACTGTACAGTTAAGAAAAACAAATGTTAATTGTTATGGCAATCCATAAATGATGATACACAATAAGAGATTTCAAGGGAATCTATAAAATGAAAGAGATATTTCAAGGAAGAATATACCATCAGGACCCCGGACCATGAGTCCAAAGAAGATATTGTTAAGTTTCTCCATCTTTTTCACATCTTGGGCCTGGTCGGTCTTGAATTTCACGCACTGCAACGTGCAGGATTCTGTTAGTTCATCAAAATGCTTGAATGAAAACATTAAAGCTCTGTTTCGTTTTAATGAATTGGAGGTGATGTAATTTCATTTTAGTTCTTTGGTTCTAATATAATTCTTAGGTAATTGGATTTCCCAAACAAATGTGGACAAACGCTTTTTTCCATTGACCATTCCTTTCTAAACCATGGTGAAAAATATGAAGGAAAATTTATCAAATCACACTGAGATTCTGAGATTCACATGTCTCCTCATAAGAAACAAAGAACTCTAAATTCTTCTCCTAAAAATAAGAGAAAATAAATAAAATTTCTTCCCCCAATTTCTCAACCAAAACAGCGGGTGAAAATAAATTTCAGTTCCATTCGTTCATCATTTCCATCTCCATATCCTCTCTTCTAATTCCTTCAAACCAAACAAGCCTAAAAAATAGATTTAGGGAAAAGGTAACGATGCAAAATGCCATTTCTTCGGAGCTGGTTCATGCCATTCTCTTGAAATATCGTGGAGCTGGTTCTTGCACATTCTTCGGAGCAATGGAGAGATGAATAAAAAAAATTTTAGATAGCAAATAATTACATGTGCAAACTATTGAAAACTATCTATAATCTGGAATACATGATAAGAGTTATTGATGGGGCTTCTATGATGACAGTGAAAAGTGCAGACTAGGCTTTATTTGGGGCGGCTTTTTTATTGCTTCTCAAAGCAATTTTTTAGTTAAAAAATTAAAATTTTTATACTAGAAAGCTGCTACTCGAAGCAGTAAGAAAACTGCCTCAAACGAAACCTAAATATCAAGAAGTGATACTGATAAATTAACTTGAACTGCCAATTGTAAAGCATCCTTCTCATTCATTTGGAGTTTCAGAAAAGGATTAACTAGCAATATGAAGTCTCAAAGGCAGATAAAAATAAGGTCCTAGAGATTGAAAGGTTGATCAAGGTTCACGTTAAATCGTCTCCTTGGCGAAAATTTCTATGATTAATTAAATCCTAGATCTTGTGCCTAAGAACACTCATTTAGGACATCACAACAATTTGAATTAGTGGGTTTGAAGTGAGGGTCATAATAGGAGAATAGATGGGGACAAGATCTCATAATTACATCATATTGAGTCAAATTGGTGGACCTAGTCTACCAAAAACGAAAGATCAAAAGACCGTGCCATCCAGATAGTTTGATTAACAGCCATGAGCGATGTGTTGTCTCTATTCTGATATCTTCAGTAAACCAATAAGGCAATATATTGAAAGGTGTATATATTCAAAATGAAGCTTAAAGTTGTTTTGGACAAGAAATATGGGGATCAATATGGCTGATCATGCTTAAAAAATTCAAGGAAATAGCCATTGAAGGTTCAACATATTGGGCTCGACCTATACATACTGAAGTTGACTAAGAGACAAAACACGTTAATGCCCTTATCTATGAAATGGAGAATCACAAAAGAAAAGAGGATGCAAGTGGCATTGAGGAGGTTGCGATTCAAGTGAAAGAAATTGAACAAAACGAATGAAATGGTGAAGCAAAATGATATCATGCTTAGTGACTTATCAAGAGATGGGAAGTTTAATTTAAAGAGTGCTTGGCATTTCCTTAGATAAAATGGTAACATGGATAGAATCTTTTTTAAGATATGCATAAATACGTAACTGCCACTGTCTCTATTTTTGTGTGGAGGGTCCTCCATAAATTCATCCCAACAAAAGATAATCTTATTAAGAAAGGTTTTAGTTTAGCTTCAAAATGCCAATGCTGTTATCACACTGAAATGATGCATCATATTTTTATTTCTGGCCCTGTGGCTATTAGAACGTGGACTCATTTTGATGACATGTTTATTTAAACACTTTTAAAGCTCATTTATCTCTTAATGCCCTTCTCAATTCTTGGTTTAGTGATACTAAAGGCCATATTCTCAATGTTATTACATCATTTATTCTGTGATTTCTTTGGCTGGAAAGAAATAATTCTATTTTCTATAATGTTAAAAGAATAATCTTAATGTTATCCAAAGGGTGAAGGACAAGATCTTAGCTCTTGTGGATGTTAATATGATCACTAGTAAAAACTTTAAAAATTATTATGATGTGGGTTTTACTTTAGGGGTTACTTGGGAGGGTGCTAGGTATGCTCTTAATTTTATTTACTGGAACAAGACCCGTGCTAATTTTTTTAAACTTAATGTTAAGGGTGCTAACACTGAGCTTGGGAATGGTTGTGGTGGTATTATAAGAGACTATAATGGCCACCTTATCATTGCTTTTGCGGGTTCGGATCTAAATGATAATGCAGTTTCTGCCCTTTATAAAGTCATTTTGTATGGTATTCAATTGTGCATTACTCTTAACATCACTAATGTGGTTATTGAAGTTACGTCTAGCTTCAACATTTTGCCACTTCAAGAGGAGTAGGATGTCTGTTGTAGTCCTAATTACTTCTATCTTGCTAGGGATATCAAAAGATTATTGTTGTTTTTAAACCCATCTTTCTGAAAGGTTAGTGAGTTTGGTAATTCTTGTGCCTCTTGGCTGGCCCATTGGGGTTGTATTCTTCGAGGCTTTATTGATGTTATTCATTTTAATATTCCTAGCCCATTTTCTGGTACGATTAACTTGGATGTGAATGGCATTCCTTATGTCAACTCTTAATTTTTGTTATATTTCCCTTGATATGTTTGGTTTTCCCTGTGTTCTTGGGGTTTTAGGCTCGTTGTTTTTTCCAGCCACCGTGGGGCTGCTTTTACTCTTTTGGCTAATGTTGTTGGGTTGTTTTCTTATTATGTGATGGTTGCCTATTTTTTAGTTCTAGTGAGGTTTTGGTATTTTTTTGTTTGTTACTTTGATGTTAGTTTTTCTAGGTGGTTCTTTGTATTAGCTATTGTCTTTCTGGTTGGTGATTGGAGCAATGATGTTTATGGTTTTATTGCTGAAGGTAAGTCCCATTATTGCTCTCCTACTTTTTGGGGTGATGGGAGGAATGAGGGTGCTATGGATTGGCATCTAGACAATAGTGGATGGCTGATTAACTGCTACTGGCAATATTGCATTTGCTCTAGTAATCTAGGTATCCTAAATCATTTTATTTTTCTATGTTCTGCTGGTAAAACCCGTGTTCCTCTGGATGTTCCTCTGAATGACTTTTCTGGAGCTGTGGTTTATTCCTTCTCATTTTTGTTGGAGTTTTGGTGGTATGATGTCGTGGTGTTTCTGTATATCCTGGACTACTCTTTAGGTAATTCTGGGCTGTGCTGGAGGATCTATTCTGTGATCTTTTTGGTTGGTAACCTGAGTAGGATTGAGCGACTTGTGGTCTTTCCTAATGAAGCGTATTTTTATGATAGCTTTCTGAGCTCTTTTAGTTACCTTCCTAAGACTAGCTTTGCAGTTTCTTTTGGTTTTGTCCTCTGTTCATCTTTATCTTTAATTTAAATTATTTCCTTATCTCTAACCTGTTCTTTGACAGTGAGATCTGTTGTTTCTACTCCTGGACTACTTATGGTGGGAAGGATTGGATTGTTTGTACTCTGAGCTCTTATGATCTGATTTCAGAGATTGGTTTTACTTGGGTCTTTTTTCACTATTACATTTTCTTTCACTACTTTTCTTATAGTTTTTTTGTTAATACTATTTTTTGGCATAGTTCTCCTGTTTGTTGTCTCTCTTTTTTGCAGAGGGCGCTGATCAGGAACGGCTTCATTTTTTAATGAAAGATTGAGACTTATTGCTATCCTTTGTTCTTTCTTTTTTGGATGCATGTTTATAGCATCAGCAGATTGTTACTAGGGTTTATTGTATTTTTGGTAGGGAGACAATTTGCTCTTAGGTTTTCTTTATCTTTGTTTTGTAGCTCTTTTGAGCCTTAGTGAGCCGATGGTTTTCTTTAAGGACTCTGTAACCTATTTTTTATATTAACGCGTAGGCCCCTCCGTGGGTTTTAACCCAAAAAAAAGTTGTTTAGCGCTATATTTTATAAAATATAAAATTAATAATTGAAACAATCAAAATTCACTTTAAAATAAAATTTAAAATATCTAAATCATTAAATACTTAAATTCAATGCATCCCTTTAATACCTTAAACAAACCAAATAAATTATACTAAATTTTAAACTAATAAAATTAAGTAACTATCCAAGCCACACTTAACCTTCTACACATACTTAAATGGATTACTAGGACAACCAACTCTAGCCTAAGCTAGGCTGGTGATTTGATTTGCTTGGAATCTATTGTTTAGAGTGATGGTGAAATAGATGGGGATATTATCAACAGAATTCAAGTTGGATGGTTAAAGTGGAGGAATGCGTCGGTCTTGTTTTGTGATGGAAAAGTAACCCTAAAACTTAAGGGAAAATTCTATAAGATGGTAGTGAGGCCTGTAATGCTTTATGGTGCTGAATGTTGGCCACTAAAGGAGAAGCATAATACTAAGTTAAGTGTGGCAGAGATGAGGATGCTCAAGTGGATGAGTGGCTTTACCCTTAGAGATAGGATACGAAATGAGCATATACATGAAAAGGTTGGAGTAGCTCCAGTAGAAGATAAGATTAGAGAGAGTCACCTTAGATGGTTTGGTCACATAAAATGGTGGCCTTCCATTGACCAAGTTAGGAGAGTAGAGGTATTAGATTTGACTTATGTTAAGAAAGGTAGGAGTCCTAAAAAGGCTTGGTTAGAAAATATTAAGAATGACCTTTCTTTATTAGATTTAAATAAGAATTTGACCTTTAATAGGACACAATGGATTAAAAGGATTCATGTAGCCGACCCCAGGTAGTGGAATAAAGGCTTGATGTTGTTGTTGTTGTAGTTTTATTGTTCCTCTATTTATGCTTCTTTTTGTGTTTTTCTAGAGAAATCCTTTGGAGTTAGTTGATTTTACTATTTCTTCCAACTCTCTTTAATTATTTATGGGGAGTGTCATACATGTTTTATAGAGTAGATTTCCTCTTACTTTGACAATAGACTGCCACCAACTTTACTTCATATCATACAAGGAGTACATTATCCCAAGAACCTTAATGTGTGTCCATCTATAATGGAGGAATATATATA